CAAGTCCTCTCAGCCCATGAGGATCGAGTTGCCGTCCTGCTGTGGGATGCAGACAAGCGAGCTCTGTGGTCAGGTGAAGCATGCTCCTTCACTTGATTATCATACTCAACAAGATCAACAACAACAACAACAACAACAACAACAACAACAACAACAACAACAATAACAACAACAACAACAACAACAACAACAACAACAACAACAACAAGATCATCATCATCATCATCACCATCACCACCACCACCATCATCATCATCATCAACAACAACAACAACAACAACAACAACAACAACAACAACAACAACAACAACAACAACAACAACAACAACAACAACAACAACATTACCATCCCCATCATATCTCTATCACCATCATTGAGCGTTCCAAAAGTGAAAGTAGCATGGCAGGGAGCGAGCGGGAGGTCAAACTTTGGGGTCCTCGATTCTTTGGTAGCCTAGGAGAGGAGGAAGGACGGAGGGGAGGGGAGGGGAACGAGATGGAGACGATACTCGACAACTCTGGGGGATTCTAGCGACCAGGAGCAGTGGAGCATGACAGTATCAATGACACGGCAGGGAATAGCAGGAGCTCCAGCTGCAGCTGCAGCTGGAGGATCGGGCGAGACGCGGTCGAGGTTGAGCTTTTGGAACTTGTAAATATTCAAACCTTTAGAATGTTGGGGAATGGTGCGAGCGAATCTCAAAATTAGACCATGGGGCGCATCCTAGGAAGACAGAAGAAGGTCCAGAAGGCTGTTTCACGAGGATAACGCCTGCTGCTCGTCAGCGTCGTCGCTTTCATCGTCCACTACCTCATCCTCAACATCCTCATCCCCGACCTCCTCCATCTCGTCCTCCTCTCCCTCCATCTCCTCTCCCTCCATCTCCTCTCCCTCCATCTCCTCTCCCTCCATCTCCTCTCCCTCCATCTCCTCTCCCTCCATCTCCTCTCCCTCCATCTCTCCCATCTCATCTAAAACTCCTCTCCCTCCATGACTCGGCGGCTCGACAGCCTCCTGGTGGGGCCACAAAATTCATCCTCGCACGCATCGTCGCCGCATCCTCCCAGCTTCCCCATCCCAGCGAACGTCCACACGTATCCATCCTCAGAGATCTTGCGCACACGGAAGTTCTCACGGTCTCCGACGTAGACGATCCCGTCCTGACTTACTGACACGCTCCTCGGGCCCCTGAACCGAGCGAGCTGCCCATGGCCATGGGCGAAGCCTGGCTCTCCGCTCCCAGCCACAGTCACCACCTCTCCCTCCTTGCTCATCTTCCTAATCCTCTGGTTCCCGTAGTCTGCAATGTAGACCGTGTCCTCCTTGTCGATACACATTCCCTGCGGGCTGTTGAACCGAGCCTTGGCTCCCTTCCCATCCGCCCATCCCATCTTCCCGTTCCCAGCTACAGTCGTCACCATCCCTTCCCCGTCGATCTTGCGGATGCAGTGGTTCCCAAAGTCAGACACGAAGATGCTTCCCTTGCTGTCCACCGCGACATAGGCCGGATAGTTGAAGAGCGCTTTGCCCGCTGGGCCGTCCTTGAACCCTTTCTTCGACCCAGCAATCGTCGTCACAGTGCCATCAGGAGACACTTTCCTGATCCTCTGGTTGCCGGAGTCAGCAAAGATGATGTTCCCTTGAGCATCCATGCAGAGGCCGGTGGGAATGTTCAGCCGCGCGTCCTTGCCCTTGCCATCATGGTAACCTTCTTCTCCGTTGCCAGCCAACGTCGTCACCTCTCCCTTCCGCGTGACCTTCCTGATGCAGTGGTTCTCCTGATCGCAGAGGTAAAGGTCACCTTCCTTGCTCTCCACTATCCCAACAGGGCTGTTGAACCTCGCCTGATCCCCGACCCCGTCCTCTAGCCCGTCCTCCTCGCACCCAGCAAGCAACGTGATCCAACCTTCCTTGTCGATCAAGCTCACCTTCTGACCCTCAGTCACTACCAGACCTCCGTCCTTGAGAGCTGTCATCCCCTCAAGTCGCTCCAGGTACTGCGTTGTCTTCGGCATGATCGGCTCACTATCCGGCTCCAGGGCGGAGAAGACGCCTGGGGGCAGGAAGGAGAAGGCAGCCGTCGAGCTGTCCTTGGCGTCGAAACTGAGAGAGAAGAAGGAGTTTCCTCCAAGAGCAGCTCCCAGTGCTCCTGATCCTCCCTCTCCTCCTCCTCTTTCCTCCTCGCCATCCTCCATCTCTCTGCTTCGCTTCCTCGGCATTCTGGATCAGGTTGCCCTCACCAGGCATGTGCGACCGTTACAATATCGTTACATGCGGTAGGTTTGCATCTCAGTTAACAGAGCCGGGCCGCCCGGGCCGGCCGGGGGCGGGGCTGGGCCGCGGGACTCCGTTCCGACGGAACTTTGCCTCAACGGCCGGGCCTTTACGCTCAGCCAGAGCAGGGATCGTACCGCCGGGGGCGGGCTGCCCGGGCGACCGGGCCGCGGCAGGCAACCGGCGCGGCCCGATCGCACCGCCAAACGCTGCCCGGTGTTCACCTACTAGTACAGGCCAGCCTGTCACAGTGTGGGCCGCCCCGGCAACTTCGGAAGAGGGAGGGCGAACTTGGGGAGTGATTCATTGCAATGATCAAAAAGCGCGAGCAAAGAGAGCCATGTGTGTCGCGTCCTTGCCGGAGTAGAAGCACTTCTTGCCGTTGACGGCTCCTGGCCTGCGAGATGGGGTGAGTGGAGGTGGAGCAAGAAGCCTGAGAGGGAGGAGGTGGTGGTGGAGAAGCGAGAGGGAGGAGGAGGAGGAGGAGGAGGAGGAGGAGGAGGAGGAGGAGGAGGAGGAGGAGGAGGAGGAGGAGGAGCTCTCACCCGTTGTGAGCGAAGGGGAAGCAGCGGATGGTGGCCTTGGTCTCTGTCTTGATCTGATCGGAAGTACTTAAGTAGAGATGACGAGCAAGGAAACGAACAGAGGATCAGGAGCAGGAGGATCAGGAGGAGGAGGAGGAGGAGGTGGTGGTGGTGGTGGTGGTGGTGGTGGAGCAGCAGCAGAAGGAATAAGCAGGAAGAGCTCATCGTATACCGTCTCCTCGTTGACAGCGTCGTCCTTCCATGGGACGAGGAAAAATCCAGTTTCACCCTGTTGGAGTAGTAAGAGAAGGGAAAGAAGCAGTAAGAGAAAAGGAAAAAATAGAGAGAGGAGGAGGAGGAGACGGGAAAGGAGGGGTGGAGGGTTATGAGATGGAGATGGAGATTCAAAATGAAAACGAGAGCATCGGCGGAAGGAAAGAGGAGGAACGACTGCGCTTGGAGGAATGGGAGAAGAGCGAGGAGGAGAAGAGCGAGGAGGAGAAGAGGCGGACATTCTCGAGCTTGGTCTTGAGCTCATCGTATGACGCAACGGTCTTGGTGTTCTCCTCCAACCTCTTACGGGCAGCCTGACGAGAAGGTCAGCAGGTCATGGGAAGGAGCAGGAGGGGGAGAAGGGAAGGGCAGTGGACAATGTGCGGGAAGGAGGGAGAGGAGGAGCCCAACTCACGTCGAGCAGTCCAGTTTGAATGTCCTGAAGCTGCTTCTTGATGTCTTGAGCGAAGTTGGTCTGATCGAAGGGGAGGTCCTGACAAGGACAGTAAGCACGAGCAGGGATGGGGAGGTGAGGGGGGAACAGGAAGGAGAGCTGATGGGGATGAGGAGAGGGGTCGGAAGAAGGAGAGAGCAGAGGAGAGCAGAGGAGAGCAGAGGAGATCGGGAGGGGAGGGGAGGAGAGATCGAGAGGAGAGAGAAGAGGAGAGAGAAGAGGAGGGGAGAAGAGATCGGGAGGAGAGCAGAGAGAGGACAGAACTTTCTCTTCACCTGTTTGTCTCCTCCGGTACGACGAGCAACCACGACCTGTAAAAATTGCATCAGATTCACTCTCACAAACTTCGTTTCCTCCTCATCTCCTCCCTCCCCCTTCTCCTCCTCCATTCCCCTCCTCCCACCTGTCCCCAACACAACAAGACTCCTCTCCCATCGTCTTCTCCTCTCACCTTGTTTGCGTCAACATCGCGAGGTCCAACTTCGACTCGCAGCGGAACTCCTCTCCTCTCCCACTCGTAGAACTTTGGGCCAGGCTTCATGTTGTCTCTGCTCCCTCCATAAGACCCCTCCTCCCCTCCCATCCCATTCTCCTCTCTCCTCCTCTCTCCTCCTCGCTCCTCTCTTCTCCTCCCCTCCCCTCCCCTCCCTTCAGCCTCCTGCCTTTCTCTATCACCTGTCGTCAACTTTGTATCGGATACCCTGGCTCTTCAATGCTGCTGTCACTTTCTCCAAAAACGCGTCGAGCACCAGCACCAGCACCAGCACCAGCACCAGCACCAGCACCAGCACCAGCACCAGCACCAGCACCAGCACCAGCAGAGAAAGGAGGAGGAGGAGGAGGAGGAGGAGCAGAGGAGGAGCAGAGGAGGAGGAGCAGTAGTATGTCGACCTTCTCGTCGTTCTCCTTCTTTCCACGGCCAACAGGGATGATCACAACCTGACGAGAGAGAAAACAATGAGAACTAATAGATTCAAACATGAGCTGTAAGCGAAAACATCAATATGTATGGTGTTTGTGATGCAAAACAAGAGACAACTATGGTGTTTGAGTGATTGAAGTCATTACGAATATGCATACAAACATGGGAAATCTTAGGAGAGGTGGTATAGATAAGAATAAGAGGGTCAATAACTCGCGACAGAACAACACCATGAATGATCAGATAAATCTTATCCTCATCATCATCAACAACAACAGCAACAGCAACAGCAAAAACAAAGCAACAACACCAAAACCAACGCCAACACCAACACCAACACCAACACCAACACTATCAGCATTTCATCACCACCTCCACCTCCTCCTCCTCCCACCACCACCACCACCTCCTCCTCCCATCAGCTTCACCTACCTGTACAGGAGAGACTTGGGGAGGAAGAACCAGCCCAGCGTCGTCGGAGTGAGTCATCACGAGAGCTCCGAGCAGCCTCGTGCTCACACCCCATGACGTGGCCCACACCAGCTCCGCGCTCTGACCCATCCCGTCACTTCCTTCCCTCTTCTCTTCCTTGTCCTCTCTTCCAGTCGCAGCTCTCTGCTGCTCCTGCTCCTGCTCCTCAGCCAGTTCGTGATGCCCCCATCCCACAGAACCAGTGGAGCAAAGGCCGCCCTCGGACTGAAGAGATTGTAAAACCTCCAGAGAAACCAATGCAGCAAGCTGCCGAAGTTCCCCAGTCGGTCTGGGGTCAATCTGGTGCTGTTGATGTTGCAGCTTCCGCTGGAGGCATGCAAGGAATGATGCCTTCAACCTCGGCTGGTCAGGGAGCTGGAGTCGGCAACAGTGCTTCCTCCAACAATGCCAGCGCT